TGATAGGTTCTTCAAATGTTACGTTAGGTAGTGATTAATATAGTGATGGAGAATATGTCCCTCGAATTCATGGAGCATTGAAAAATAAAACAAAAACTAACATGTGGTGGTAAACAATAACGAACAAAGCTTGGTGCACAGGTAAACAAATGAGGCACGCGACGCCATCAACATTTAATTAATTTTATTGTAAAGCTGTTTCTTTAAAACTAATTGTCATGGTGCGTTGGCGGGATTCATGTCCTTGGGTACGAAAGTGACCCCGTTGGCTTCGTATCACTCCAGGACAACATTTGAATAGTGGAACGAAGCTTAAATCCGGCCAGAATATCGTAGGGCCCTCGTGTTGCTTCAACAAAGGAAGCAGACGCTTCTGTAGACACTCCTTGAGGTAGATCTTCCCGTTTACAGCCCCGGTATTCACGAACGGCGCACTCCGTTTGCCACATAAGCAGATCGCTTGCCAAATAATGTATTTCTTGGAAAACTTTGAAAGTTTCTACTTCCTTACTTCCTCCGGAACATCAAACATGTGCTGGGCGGTGGAGAACAGTAGCCCCGGAAGCTGCCGTAAGTCCGCCTTGACGTAAGTCACTCTAAACTACTTCTACCCAAATTTTCAAGAGACCCAATGGGTAATTTTCTACAGCCTTTTTTTCCGTGATGCAATTTGATGTGGGACACCATTTATTATGTTTTTCCAAAATTTTATATCAATAACAAACACGTGTAACCAAGGGTGTAGACAGAGCGTAAGAGAATACAAAATCTTGAATGAACTGGTAATATTTCAAACTAAGGGAAATTTAGTAAGCTCCAGGAGTCAGTCATTAGTTTTACTAAGGACAATTTACCAAATAAATTACTATGTCTAAAGTAACAATGCGTTAGAATCTTGAAAGCTTCTCAAGGTCCATAGATCAAAGTAGGTCGCGCTGGAAAGTTCTAGATTGAGCTGGAATTAGGGCGTAACAGTTTTGTAAACAATGACTTCTCTCGATGATTTCTCGGAAGTCATGGCTCTCCCTGACTTCAGAGAACATCACCATCGACTAAAGGAAGACTTCTCCTACCCGATGGATATCTTGGTTTGTGTAGGCGTAGCTTGAATTCCAAGAAATCAACAAGAGAAGTCATTGTTTACAAAGGCTATTACGCCCTAATTCCAGCTCTATCTAGAGGTGACACGTTTTTATTTTGCTGCTTTAACTATGTTTAAGCAAACTTCAGATTGTTCATAATTTCTCATGGACGGGATCGAAATAGATCCAGGAGCGGTGTTTGTTGGGAGCTGATGGGCAAAGAAGAACCCAAGCTGATCGCGATGGTGCGAATCCGGCAGGCCAACGTCCGGGGGCTTATAGTGATACTGAGAGATGCCGATGCATTTCTTTCCGAGGGCTGGCCATGGATAGCGGTATTCCTTAGTTAAGATCAAAGTAACTTTTCTGAACTGCATCCGGCAGCTTCAAGGATCCTTCCTTCCTTATTATTTAATTAGTTCGTAACATTATGTTTCATATCAATTTCACTTATACAGTACTAAGAAAACAAATTGAAGAACTCGGTTAGCTCAGCGGCTGTCGCATTTGCTTACTGAGCAGAAGATCGTGGGTGTATTCTCATGTTCCTAAAAAAAACAATCACATGCTTTTGGTCGTATCGCCAGCTTGAGGCGTATCTTGACCTAATACCCTACCCGATTCGCCAACTCCGTAGTACTTATGAGGGTGTCGCTAATTCAGTGGGCCCTTGTTTAAGTTTGAGCAATATTCGACATACCGTATGCGTGATAATGTTTGCACCATTGAGCAATGCCAAATTACAAAAATTCTCAAAAATTTCTTTTTTGAGTTTTTTGTTTTTTATATATTCAAAGGGGGAATGTTTCTCAGACTCTTAAACTATGTTAATCATCGATCGAGCTTCCACTTGCTGCAATTACGGCCTCCACACGCTTCCGGAATGTACGGCAGGTTTTAATAATGTAGTCTAGATCCATTTCTCTCCAGGTACGGGTCAAAGTTTGTCTGAGGCTTGCTGTACTCGGGTGGCCTTTAGAACAGGCCTTGACCATCATGACGCGCCATATTGAGTAATCCAGCGGATTAAGATCGGGGCTGGATGGCGGCCACATATCCTTCGCCCAGAATGGAGGATGTTCCTGCAACCATCTTGTTGAAACACAACATTTGGCTTCGGACCTTACTGTTCTTTCATCCACGGAAGAACATACTTACTTAAAATCCCGATGTAGACCTCCGTGTTGACCTTGTCGCCTTCTGGAATGAACACCGCGTCCATTTTTTTACCAACACCATAACGCTAGCAGGATGTTTGGTGAGATACACGATCTTGAGTTCGTCGGCCACGTCTTTTACCGGAAGCGAACTAATATACCGGTCGGTTCTGGAATTTGATACAGGATCGACGGTAAACATGCTCTCGTCGGTGAACAGGATTACCGGATTTTTTCGCTTAAGGAAGTTCAAGATTTTCTTGCATCGTTCGACTCGTAGCTCCCGGATGCGGTTGGTAATCATGTGAGTTTTTTTCCGTGCCCTCGACTTCGCCCCGCAATCTTCCTTTACGATCTTCCGTGCCGTAAAGTCACTGATCCCGAGTTCCTTTGCCATTTTCCTTATTGAACGCACTGGATTCACCCGAATCTTCCTTTTGATAGCAGACTGACAGCTGACCTCGGACGACCTGTGGCCACCTTGGCGGATAGTTGTCCTTTCTTTTCTCGGTCTAAAACCCTTTTGACGGTCCACCGGAACACTCCCACGGCGATTGAAATGTCTTTTTGCGACATTTGCGCGTGGGACAAATCACGAATACGCTGCAACTTCGCCATGGTGCAACTGTCAAACTAAGTAAATCATTTTCTTTTATACACAGCCTACTACGGTATAAGCTATAGGTTACGTGCATGCAAAGAAAACCAAGGCATTGGGCCTTATTACGGGTGTCACTACAAGGTGATAAGGAAGTGATACTCAGAATGAGATCCGTGATTGCCGTACAAATCAAATGGTGACGTGTCCTGTGACATCCGTAATAAGCCCCATTGTATGCATAGGTGAAACGGGAACATTATTTGTACGATGGTGCAAACATTATCACGCATACGGTAAACAACGAAATTGTTAAAAAAAAACGGAAATTCACATGAAGTTTTCAAAGATAGACGAGCGACAGTCATGCTTTTGGTAGTCTTGTTTAGATTGGAAATAATGTTTACTCCCCATCATTATTCCTGAAAGCAGTCTGACTGAGAAATTCAAAAGAGACCTAAGTGCCACTAGTATCCAATCTACGAAGTATACCGTAACAACGCTAACGCTAACGCTAACATGTTGATCGGACATCCATATCAAATCCTTCTCAAGAGCAATTGTTGTCGTCGGTGAGGTTGTCGCCGGGATCGAAATCTAGTGACAGCAAGTAGAACGGGAACTTGATCGTAATTGTTTTGTGATATAAGGAGCTCGGTGGCCTAGTGGCGACCAATTTTGCCTACTGAGCAGAAAATCTTGGGTTCAATCTCAAGCTCCCTCACATTATTAGATAAAGCGTAATGAATATCGGTTAGAGGAACGAGTACGTAAAATAAATAATATTCGTGTTTTAGGAAAGACCGTGGGTTCGAACCCAAGCTCCTTCGCGCTATTGAATCGTTAGGACACCAATTCAGCATGCCGTTTACCAAAACTAATCCAGCTGCAATCCCAACCCTTCTATCCAACATCCCAGTGATTTCTCGTGGAAGTGCAGATGTGTTCTCGGCTTTCATTAAAGCGAGTATTACGTAATCATACATTCCTTTCTTGACCAGCATTCGGGCGTGGCCGTGGACGTGCCGAATGAATCTCGAAAAAAATTCTAGGTGGATCATCTTGATACCCTTGGAACTCTTCACAGGATTTCTGTAGAATTGGTTCAAGTATTTCCTTAGAATCATCTCAAAATTTCCTAAAAGTGTATCTTAGAACTCGCTCTGGTATTCCCTGATTCAATTTGCAATTCTCTTAAAATTCTAAATTGGGTTCACTGTATTTATTACCTAGGAATTCTTCAAATTATCTTCAGTATTAACTATTTAATCTGCTGAAATTCCCCTGGAATTATCTTCAGATTTTCCTCTAAATTACACTCAGAATTTTTTCGGAGTAGTTTCGTAAACTCTTAGATACGCTTCTCAGAATTCCCAAGGAATTCATGTTTGAGTTCTCTAAAATTATAGCCATGCAACTAAGTATTCTTTTGAAATTTACCTCAAAGCGTCGGTGGAAATTTCCTTATAATTTTTGTTGCTGTTCCTCCTTTGAGATCCTTCCTTCCTTCCTCTTTGCTTATGGCATATTAGCTTATTTCGTGCTCTCAACTTAGTGTTCTAGATGCACTTTCACAGTTATTAATTGAAAGCTTTAGATGCCTGCTACCATTTTTGCATTAGTATAATGTTTGGCAAGTACGATCATACTCTATGGCCAGGGAGTCGAGAAATTTTCCAACCCGAAAAATTCCTAGACCGGACCGGGAATCGAACCCTGTCACCTCCAGCATGGTCTTGCTTTGTAGCTGCACCTTTACCGACTGAACTAAGGGAGGCCCCTTTGAGATACTCCTTTCGAATACCTCTGGCCGACTTTCGAGAAGGGGTTTGTCAAAATTGATTCCTCGTCGGTCAGAAATAAGTCTGGTGGAATAAAAGAGTTATTTGAAAATTTGCCATCTGTCAAATTTAAGTGAAAATTCACCAAATGCTTACATTTGGCATATTGGCCCTTAAATAACAGCCAAGAAAATAGATTAGCCTTTCTATTTAGCATTTGCACGTTCCGACGGCCTTTAATTACTCCGAAATCCCCAAGCCCCAAAGCAGCAAGCCCGTGTGTAGCTCCAAATTTAAATAACACTGCCTTGCTGCGGTCGGCCGCAATTACCCCCCGAAAAAGCTGAACCAAAACAAAACTACATTCTAAATAAAAACTTACCTCTCGATTGCGACGTGTTGTGATGGTTCCCGGAAACGGTACCGGCCAGCAGCACCATCTGGCACCAGACCAAGGCCCCCAGAACCAACATACCCATCCTTCTGGTTGCGCTTGACCGTGTGACGTATGTGGCTGTTGTTGCAGTTTTTTGTTCCACTCCAACTGGATCAATGTTGCCACCGTTATAAGAGGCGGCAGCTTCCACTATTTTTTTCCCCCCGGCTCGAGGTTGCTTTCTTCCAGCGGCGGATTTACTTCGGTTCAACCACCGCTCCACCTTCAGTATTTCGGGGGTAATTACTTCACCTCGATCGATGCCCGGTCTCCCACCCACACCCACACTTCCTCCACCTGGAGCACGATAATAATCGTTTCCTTCTTTCACTTTTTCCCCACCCGAGAGCTGCTGGGTGAGATTCTACGTTTTACGATCTTCTACCGAGGTGGTAAGGAAATGATTTTCTTTCTTCTTCCCACGCACTCACTTCACTCCCCGGGTGCTGCCGCTGCTGCTTCTTCTGCTGGTGTCGAAGGTGTTTGGTGCACTTTGAATCCGTACGTAAAGGCGATCATCGCACAAATTGATCCGGCGCGACTCTCTTCAACAACAACAACGAAACTACCGGGCGTGGAAGACTGGTAGGTATCAACGCGTTTCGTCCGCTTCTTCCCAGACCGATTATTCGGCTTCTTTTTTGGGGGGCCTTAACTTGTACGTTTTATTTTTGTTTCGCTCTGTAATGACTGTTAATTCCAGGTATTTTATTCGGTTTTTCGTTTTAGCTTCTGAACCGACTCACTGATTTTGATTCCATGCGTTTATGGGAAGCTCAAATTTTAACTTTTTCTAAACTTTTGTAACCTCTTGGCAACTCGTCTTCTCGAAGCTAAAAAAAAAGCCACAACTGTTATATATAATACCATTCACTGCCAAGTGCATCTGGTGAAAATCATCCCCGCCATTACCAATCGATATACCACACACAGAGGAGGCCCACTATGCGCGATCGAGAGTCTCGTCTCGGTAGGCCAACGCGATCGCACTAATTAAGCGCAAAGTCACTTATTCTATTAGCGGAATTGACCTTTAAATTTCTTCTCCGGGCGCGCGCTGCCCGGCCGTCAACAACGGTTTAATTTGTTCTACTTAATATTGCTCAATTGAAGAACGTTCTGCCGTTCCCTTCTCCGACACAATCCATTCGCAATCGCAACTCGCAACCACTTCCAGAGAACACGATCATTGCACAATCTATACCTACATATTACTCCGCTGGCTCTGTTTGTGATCCGTACTTAACTAAATTTTCGGTAATCGGATCTCCTTCACTCGACCATTTACAGCTGTGAAACCACCTACTGGCGAATCTTATAGTACAATCTACAACCCTCGGGACACGCACCAATGACCTCCTTCGCTTCGGACGTCTGTTATCAAAGCATACACACAGAAAACATTGCTTGCTACTAAAATCGTACCAGCCACTCCTCACTCACTATAAAACAAGTGAGCACTTGCATAACAATGTTCTACTGTTTACTAACTCATTGCGTCGCTTAGCAGGTCCTTCGCTTGTATTATTTTTTCGCATCCAAGCCACGGGTGATTATCATCATTACAAACGAACGACGATTGCCTGTGTGTTTACTCACTATCGCGTTGTCGACGAGAAGGTACCACTCGGAGGTACACTTGCGAAATGTGTGTTAACAAAACACAAACATCGATGCACTATCGGTCGCGGTACCCGCTAATAACAATAATAATTACACAAACAGCTGACTGTAAACAATGGATATAAGCAAACGACTGTACTCAAAACACGGCGCGATCAAATAAAACCGAAACGATCGAGGGCCCGTTCAGGACTGAACTGAAGGATTGTGATTTCGCTCGCTGTCGCTCGCAAGCGCGCAAGAGTTTGGTGAAAGAGAGTGAGAGCGAAACGAGATCGAGAGAAACCTGAGAAACCCGGCTCACAGTGTGGTCAGTTGTACGGGTTTATTCGTAGATCTACGGATTTTTTGATTTACTGCGGACTTACGGACACACTTAATCACGGCTTCCCCGTTCGGTATTTTTTCACAGTGTTTTCGAACTGTAAATCACATAAAATACCGAACGTTCAGCTCTTCTCAATGAAACTTTTCAGTACGACAAACTATTGAATTAGGTTCTGCAGCGTGACGTCACGAATGAACTCAGTGTTAGCCGGCTGAACCTTTTTGACAGTTCAGTGGTACTGTTTACAAGCACTTAGTCGTTTTTTCGAAAAAAAAATATTCTTAAATTTCCGAATTTCAACTTGAAAATTGTCGAGGAACAGCGCGTAGAAATGATGTTGCTCATGGACATTGCAGAAGTGTGGTTTACATCTCACTGCAGTCCGAAAAATTATCGAGAAAATCCACTCAAGAAAAAATCGACTAAGTCCACGTAAACAGTACCACTGAACTGTCATCAGATTGAGGTTAACCCCGACGGTGCAAAACCTAATACGGAAATTGGAAGATTGCCGCAAAAGCTCAACGCAGATGTCGCCACTGGATGATGATGATAATGTTGACAGACTGCATATAAAATTCGTGAAAATTAGCATTAAATCATAACTTTCATCAAGCCTGCGTGAAATCCTTCCAATATAACATTCGAATTGAAGAAGAAAACGTTTTACGATCAGACTGATGTGCATCTTTGATTTTTCCAGGTGAACTTTCATAAGATATATTCATTTCATTTCACGGCTCCATCAATGCTGCATCGTACATATGATGGTAAACAGAAGTAAATTGCTCAATTACTCAAAATAAAGATGATTTGTCATCTTGTTATCACTTTGAAGACCATCTACCATCATTTTATAGCATGGTGCGTGTTGAGTAAATCAAGTTCCGGTGATATGATCCACTCCTTCGCTTAGCTGGCGAACTGAATTTTTAGCGATGAAAGCACCTCTGTGACAAAAAAAGGCTACCAATGTATTTGTTTATCATCACGAGGGGTAAACCAAATGAAAATTTGTTTAATATTACAAATGAATGTATTTCAGCATTTTATTTTATTTGATGACAACAGTGACATGTCAGACAAATTTTAAAGTAATATACACAATGTAAAGCCTGGTACGCAGCTGAAAAGAAAACGGAAAAGTAATTTTTGAGGATTTTTCCCAAAAGAAAATTTGACAGCTATAGGCTGCTAAATTTTGAGATTATAGGGAGATGTCGTCAAATTGTAAAATCAACACTTATTAGTGTTTATGTTGTTTAAATGCATCCAAAACATCAGTTTTGCAATAAACGCCAACATTACCTAACGGAATAATTGATCAGACCATTATTCCGCAAGGAAAGTGAAATTGCATTCAGAATGCGCCACCTTCATGTCGATCACGATACTAATGTAATCGATCTTTCCTTTACTGATTTCTTTTGAACTGCGTACTGGGTCAAGAAATGCTAAAGGAAAATAATTTCTTTAGCATTCCGTGTCCTATCCCGTAGCACGTAAAAACGTCATTACTTTTCAGCTGCGTACCAGGCTTAATTAATGAAAATAATTTGACTCTTACTTTTGTAATAAGTGCTATATTCGCACCCCTCGATTGTAATTGAATGATTGTTGCTGACCTTTTTCAATGCTAGATGGTGCGTGAAGCAATATTTTGCGGGTCGCCATTGCAACATTTGGAAAAGGCATGAATGGATCATATTGTTAACGAGATTGTTAATATGATATATTTGATAACAGTGTACAATCATAGAGGTAACTCTAAGACAAGTAGGTCCCAAAGAAACGTGCTCAACTTTTTGGCTCACCTCTGGTACTATCTTCGGTCCCAAGCTTGTCGAATCACCCCTTGAAACATAGGGAAAACCAATAACCCCTCATTTTATCTGTCAAACTTTCATAGCGAATCAAAACAAACATTGCGTAGTACTAGAATAGGGTACGTTAATCGTTTTCTTGGGACCAATAGGCTACTAAAGTGGTGAGCCAATTTTAAATCGTTAGTTTCGTATTGATTGTTGGTACAATGCTGAATAAAACGGGATGTCGAATTATGTGCTGAAAAAAACCTCATTGAGAGCGATAGATGCGCCTTCATTCCGTTGTTTGCTCTGATCTGATTTATTTACTATTTAAAAGGTTTATAAACGTTGACTGTCTTCCTGATTCCACACGAGAAGTTTAATCCAATAACAAACTGAATAAGTGTAATTTGCACGCTCTAAATCAATTGATTTAATAACATCATATCGTATAACGTTTGAATACAGCTTGAGGCTGTATAAATGAAATGAGTAAAGCGTTTACATTGGGAAAATTGTTAGTTGGGTAGTCACCAAAGTTTTCGAGCCGCTCCGTCTGTCACTTCGTTTGTGGTTCGACTAAGACCATTGTTGGTCCATCTCAATTTCAAACGTTACTAACATTATTAACCAATCATTAACGTAAATTTACAAAATCAATGGAACACATTTGCAGGATTACATCTACGATCTGCGGTCGTTGGAGAATTATACCTTATTGGATGAAAAAGGCAAAAACCAAGGATTCACAGTATAAATGCCCAATGAATTACGTGAATCGATGAAATCGCCATTATGCCTTATTACTGTGAAATCACTCGGCACAGGAATTTGATTGGCTCACAAAATAGGACTTACACAGCAAAAAAAAATGTAATATCGATCAACGTAATTCAAGCTGATGTATGAAATAATGATGTAATAGCAAATAGCAGATACAATATTACATCAATGGATGTAATTTTGTTCGCAAAATCGATGTACATCGTACAATGTGATATTACACAACCGATGGATTGACCTGGTTGCAGCAGTTTCGATGTAATATTCAACAACTTTTTTTGCTGTGTACCTTTCCTGGAGTCTGCTGCTGAATGAATGGAACAAGCACGAGCTTTCGTAGCCACTAGAGTCGGTGTATAATGAGTCACGCCAAGAGAAAAACAGTTGAACTCGCATCACGGTTTTCGGAAGATTCCCATTCTTTTCACTTGGCAACAGAAGACTTCTACAACAACTTCAAATGACTTCTAGCGAGAGAAAAAATATTGCGGCTGGAGTAAATCATTATATCAGTGATTTTGTCAAATTATCTTGACAAAAAATAGTAGAAATTCTTATTACTAATCATTACCGAGCGTATCGCATGACAATTTAACGCTCACTGCGTGTTTATGCTCATTTCTTCGATTATATTTTATATTTTATTGCAATACCTTTCGTGGACCTTTCATAGCATCGTAATGTTTATTTATTTTGCACGATAGGTAGCCGGTTTGACAGTTCAATAGGTAGACTTGGCTTCACTCTTGGCGTGACTCATTATACACCGACTCTAGTAGCCACATCCTCTGTGCCGTGTTGCCAATGTTCCACATCAATCGTACCAACATTGTATGACAGTATCACAAATACTGTCATCAGTGGGGGAAAGGAATCTATGAATATTAATTCCCGTATTCATGTACCTCACATCTTCCCTCTCCCCTGAAAAAAAACCCCCATGTGTGGAACACATGGAAACAGTGTTCGCTCTAGGAACGCGTGACGGATTCGTCACACACTCGTCACCTCCCTTTTTTTATGGCACAGACCTGTTGGCGTAACGCTTGATGTTGCCCGGCAACTGTTGTGCACATTATTTCTGCGTTACGTTTTTTCACATCGCTCACTCACAGGTCCCGGACTCACAGTAGGCATCGACGAAATTTCATTCTTTTTTACCGGACATCGCAATCGGAATAGCCGTTTTTCAAGACAGTTTTCTAGGAGTGGACCTCTACGTGGTGAAAAACTACAGCGGAATCAAACCGGCAGCCGAAAAACACATTCACGGATCAACCATCTTTGACATTCACAACCTCCAGAGGTATTCAAGATCATCAATTTAACCACAGAATGGAGGAACACTTTCAATCCCTAGATAATGGATCAAAGTTGTGGCCTAGACCCGTCATTGAAAGCTTGCCAAACACCCTGCGAAACCTTTTCAAAAAAGAACCTCTGTATATACGAAACAGTTAAACAGAATAAACTTCACTGTGAGTAAATGAGCAAAAAATAATATTCGTAGTCAAGTTTATCAAACTAGTCAAATTCTCTTTTTAATCCTTTCTTATGCCTATTTTATATTGTAGACTCGATCGTAGTGATTTACCGAATATCTTCGGTTTGCTGCACATAATCCGATAGATGGATCGGGGTTTTCCTTTCTCTCCATGGTTGACTTGTTGCTGTTTCTTCCGGTGGTTTCTTGGTATTAATATCCCTCCAGCGGTGTACTTTTTTGGTCTGCGTAACATGACGGCGAACCTGACAGCCATGCTCGTCGCTAAGGAGCAGGCTTCCATTATCTTCTTTGATCACGGTGTATCTTTTTCTGTCAAATCTCGTATCTCCTTTCGCTTTCGATTGACGTTCCAATATAACTTCGTCTTCAGGGTGGACCTTACATGGCTTAGCGCTTCGTCGGGCATCCTCATGAGCTTTGGAATGAAGTTTTGCTTCAGCATCTCTCGAGTCCAACAAGTGCTCATTGATATCTGCTCTACCACGGGTTATCAGTGGTAGTCCTCGCCGGATTCGTCTACCGTACATAACTTCTTCGGGGGGCATTCTTGTAACCGTATGGGCTGCAGCATTATGAGCATTTACAGCCGCCTGTAGCTCTTCGTTGAAACCACGTCCGCTTGACTGTGCAGTAGACATCGCCTTGTTCACAACTTTCATAAAGTTTTCCACTAAACCGTTTTGCTGCGGATAGAACGGCGTGGAGAAGATTGTCCGAA